ATAAAATTGTTCCATGTCAGTTTAATATTTTAAATTCAATAAAATGCTGAGCCGGAGTGGGAATTAAGTTATCAAGAAATACGTCACAACTTGGAATATTTTTAGCACACCTAATAAGCGTGTCCTTCATGAAAGGACACAGCAGAGAAGCTATTCCAGTCCAGATAGCCCAAAAACCAGAGTAAAAAATAAAATAGAAATAAAAATAAAAGACTGTCCGTGCCTTATGGGACGGTAACGTTGGCAATGAAAATAAACTTAATTAAAAATTTTTAAAGAACTCAAGCAAAATTTATTTTTAACATAATTTCACAATTTTCCGGATAATGCAGTTAAGCAATGCCATTAATACGAAAATTATTTCTTATAAGCTGTTGCTGTGTAATAAAATGGTAAGCCATAGTTGTAACCAATGTGGGCGTAGTTTGGTCCAGTGTAAGTGTCGAAAGAATGTAATTGAACAGGATAATGTGCTGCATTCTCATGCACATAAGCAGCGGCTGGACCCAGACTAGCATACGTTAAAGGTAAAGGTTGTAATAATGGGGAGTGTTCTATAACTGGAGCGGCATAAGTACGTACCGCAGGTGCGGTAAAAGAACGTACTGCTGGTGCTACGATTGGAGTAACACGCTGTGCACGGCTATGCACAATAGTGGAACTCTGATGTGAAACTGCAGTTGGTACATTTTCGACTATATCGCCCACTTTCGCCAATGTAGGCTCATGCACTTGTACATGAGTTGGTTCGGCTACAATTGCTGATTTAATGACTGGTATAGTGGCTGGTGAAAAACTTACAATTTTACTAGGTTTCGCTTCAATAACAGTAACATCACTAGACGCAGCTGAAGAAATTGCTAATAAAGCAACTAAAATACACTGGAAAAAACAATTTTATTTTTTATTTGTTTTATATAAATATATTTAAATTTATAATTATAATAACTTACAATTTTAAGCATTATTAATTTTTTATATTAAGTAATCTTAAAGTTCCTCACTCAAGTTTCAATTTCTTACTGAACTGAAAAGGGTTTTCAATTTAGCTTTTATATGTTAGTAAACCCTACAAAAAAAATAAAATAAAATCAATTTTTATTTAAAAATAGAACTAGAACTAGACCGATCATCGGTTAATAAAACAACAAAATTAAGCTCGACTCTTAGCAAAATATAAGCAATTTGCAACACAATGACAAACATTAAGCCCACTTTGGCTTGCATTGTTATATTTTGCGGCAAGCTATCAACTTTTTACATCTGCCATATATGTTGATCACAATTCTTGATCGTTATTTGTCCATGAAACTGAATTGTACATTACTTTCGCCGGACGTTGCTCCTTTGATTTCCTATTTAAACTCAACAGTCGCGTCAACTCTTGTTACATTTCCATAAGTACCATGAGTACAAGAGCAAACCATAACATAACATAAATACTTTAACATAAATACATTTAATCCAGATTGTTCTGTCTTCAGCGTAATCACTTGAAGATCACTTGGCAATCATTTGGTACTAGAATCCTACAATCGTATCAATTTATCGCTCATATGAATTTCAATTTGCAAAACGTAAGTAAACTTACGCAAAGTATCTGTAACGCAACTGATTGCGAAAACAATTTCAACAATTGTTTTGTTGTAAGATTCTGACTCTGAGTTCCTTTGGGACTCATTCAATGTTTATGCTTTGATTCTAGATACTTAAGCCATTTGTATTACTGCCCACATACCAAAAAATTACACCAAAGCCGATGACATAGCCAGGCACTAAGACGACATATTGCGATCTGAATTCTGAGTTCTGAATTCAAATTGCAGGCTTCAGTCGGTTTTTTGTTGAATCTTGTTAAATTCTTAACATTAATATACCGAAGAAAAGATAAGTGAATACTGTGATTCCAAAAAAAGAATGCTCTAAAAATTGATGACATATGTAAATTTATATATAGATATGCAGTTTTTTTTATTATACATATTATAGTATTGTCTAAAGAAATTAATACAAAAAATGTTACAGCTCTGCATCAACGAAAAATATTTTTAGAATTAAAAAATTTAAAATTTTATATGCAATATAAAGGTTTTTTCAAACAGTAGTGAACTACAACAACAAAAACTCATTTTTATATTATTTTATTTAATTGAATTTTTGACTGACCATACAGCTGTTTCGAGTATTACCAAATACCCATCATCAGTGGTCTTGGAAAAAATTTTTGTGTTTTATTATTCGTAAATAATTTTTTGATACTACAAGTACTAGGAATTCAACTCGTGTCCTGCCAAATTTAAAGCTCAGAGTCAGCGCTTCTTAACTAACTGAGCCAAAGTCGTACTTGACTTTTATGTTCGCACATTTTTCTGAAGTTTTGTTAGTTTGTTGTGAAAGTTTTATTAACAAATTCACTTGCTGTGTTTATATTAGAACGAAATCATAAACCAGCTGTAGAATAATTAAATTAATTAATTATATTATTATTTTTTAATTGGTAAATTTCAATACTATACTGTTTGAGAGGCATTATAATAATTATAATTAATATTTATTAAAATTGCGGGAGATAAATACATCATATATTATTATAACCTTTAAATCGTGAGAAAGAACAACGGCCATTCATAAAAAATTGTTGCATTAAATATTATGAATAACGAATTATCGAAGTTACTTTTCTCCTATTCAGAAAGAGAGGAGTGGACTTTTTAAAGCAAGTGCTGATTTTATACCTTATTACATATGACCAGTTACATCCAAATATTTATTATTATACATACCCTTTTTATGGGGTAGGTGAAAAGCATCAAAAGTAGCAGGTGAGACTCACACCTACTAAAATCACTTCATAGAAATAATTAGAGAGAATTACCACACAGCAATATTGAAGCTTCACTTCGGTCCTAAGGATTCACTTAGATCTGTTGTTCTATTTTAAAGCTAAAGCCGTATAAAACTCTTAACGTTTAAGACCAAGTAAAGGTAAGATCTGAAAACTGTTAAACTCCATTTTCCAGAACATAAGTTATTACATAATAAAGCATATTAATTATATATTATAAAACTAAGGCTACTTAATCATATATGGCTTATAACCATGGATGTGTTATAGTCGTGTTATAGAGCATACTTGACCGTATCTTTTTATTTGTATACTACATGCGCTGGGTTAATTTGCTTATCTAAGTTCATTTACTTATAAATAAAGTAACTGATTAAACAACCTTAATGTGATTGTCTTGTGTAAAATTGAAAAATCATGTGTTATTGCACTGCAGTTTATTAGCATAACTGATAAAAACAAAAAAAAAAAAAATATATAAAGAAATACGCATATGTGCACATAAATAATGGACAATAGACACATTTAGATAAGATGGACAATAATTTCATTCAAACGCTTTATACAATGACACAAAAATGCAAAGACCTTTCACCTGCAATATTGATCTGGATCTTAAATTCAAGCCAACTCCATACTTACACCCAATGCTCATACATATGATATGTACCAGTAAAATTATCATATTACGTATAAACCTTGAACCTGCAGTTGTCAAGTTTAGTTGCCTGTGAAATGGAGTTCAAAAGGTCCACATGAGCAAATAATAAAAGTAGTAAAAGGACAATCTAAACAATAAAAGAGTTCATTTTGTTAATGATTTATGCTGCAGTTCAGGAGGATGAGCAAAAGAGGCAGTGGTGGGTAACTTTCGAAGTGAAGTACAGGCAAAGTAGCAAATTAAAATAAAACAAACAGGACACTGCACCACAGCTGCTTTGCTTACGTTTCTTACATAGCTGCATAGATACGTAAAGTAAATGCACTCTCTAACATCGAAACAAAAATACAGTAACATAGATACACCTCTTATCACACAATAGATACAATTTATGAAATGGAAACCAAGTAAATAAACCAAGTCGACGTACCACAAACGCGTCATAGCACATTCCTAAAATCTTCTCCTGGCAGCTGGTTGTGGCTAGGCAGCTGGTGTTATGCAACAACGACTTACAGGTCGTAGCGTTAATGAACCAGATAAGCCAAAACAACATCATCTTCATCTTCATCATCGTTATTGTTATTATTATTATTATTGTTGTTGTTGTTGTTGTTGTCATCGTTATCGACAATATATTGTTGGTATCAGTGCCCTGAGCTTTTAGTTTGTCTTCCATAGTTCAACAACTTGGCTACCTGCAAACGTTTCGAGAAGCATTAAAAGGCTGACGTGTGCAAACGACAGCTCAATTCAATTTACGTTTCACCAGAAATATAAAATGATTTCAAATAAATTCAAATAAAATTGAAATAATATAAAACAGTAAAATGAGAAAAAAAAAACTGATAATCAATTGTAAATAAATTGATTCAACGTTTGTTATCAATTACGTAAATATTGTTTAAACATCAGAATCGGTCGCATCTTCGAGATGAACGGTTGGAAGTTTAGTGAGGTATTTGTTTCCTCAACAGCTTCTTTGTAATATTACCTCATCTGAAGCAAATAGAAGGATCTTACAACATTTATTAAACTATTATTGATTAAATTTTTCATTAAATACAGTAATACACAAAAGAAAATTCTGCGCAAAAAGTAACTGCGTTTTTCTTGTATTTTGACGTAAACGCTAGATACTTAATGTACGTAGTACAGGAAGTCGTAATTTCTGTATAGGACAGAGGTACGTATATTATTTCTTCTTAAAATGCATTAGAAGTAATTTTTAAAGCATATTTAAGCGTAATATTAACTTTAAAAATATGTAGTTAACATTCATAATAAGACATAGTACAGAAGAGTTCTTAATCATAATAACCATTGAATACATTGAAAGGAGTTACTGACATTTCAGTTTTTTATTTTTATTTCTGGCATGTTATTACTTACAATAATTAAGAACTTAGTCTATTTACAAATAATTTCCATATCCTCAATTTCTGGCTATATATTACCGATGAAGTCCGTCCATTATTATTGTTATTACAAATAATATTTGATTAATTAGTAATTTTAGATAGAATAAGTTATTGTTTAAGGTGTTTGGATTTTTTTGGCACCCGAACTTATCTGATAACGGGTATTTCCTTTAAGTAGTAAGAAGTTTTTGAAATATGGTAGTTATAGACCAAAAACTCGGTCGCCAGAGCCTTATATGTGCTAACGGGGCACACCACGTGAAGGTTAAGGTTGAAGTTTATTTAAGAGAGGCTATTTGAGTCGCATCATTAAACCTTACACCCCTTAAACCTTCAGTTTAATTGACACTTAAAAAATCATTTGCTAGAAAATAATTTTTAATATTAAAATAGAATAATTTATGAGTCATTTCTTTAGATATGTACATTATATTGTTGTATAGATTGTTGTATATAATATATGTTGCTAATTCTTTCAAGTAAATAATTGGCCAATAAGCATAATATATAAAAGATAGCTTAAAACTCATGAAATTCTAATTCACGAGCGCTTTTTAGTTACAAATATGGAACCTTATAAATTCTAAAAATCCAATATTTCTAGTCTGAAATAGTTCTAAATATTTCTAGAAATGTTGTATGGAGGGTTTGATACGCCATTGTATACGCCATTGTTATAGCGCTATTATTGCACACTACTACAATTTCAAAAGCCGGAATTTTACAAAATTTATTATGTTACATATGTTCACTTGTATATAGGAATTCATGTAGTTCATCATTTATATTTAATTGGTGTTAATCTTTTTCTTGTTCTCTAACCTCTTAACTTTGCTTATTTTTTCAAAGCAAGTTTGTTAGCCTCGAGGTCAAACCACAAAGTTAAGGACCACATTTACTCATTTGAAAACATATAAATTAAACTGATGTTGAGTAATTGAGGACTTACTCCTAACCAAATGTTTCGGTTATACCTTCCATATTCAGTCAAAATATTCTAGATTGAGTAAAACAGCGAGCACCACCACTGAACTTGAATAGGTGAAGTTGACAATTGAGTAGATTAGACCTTATATTTGCATTACAACACCATGGAAATACACACATCACCTCACTAAGCCCCCGACTTGTGTTGATATATACATTATATTCTAATACTTTAGAAAAAAAAAAACATTTTCTTTGAAAATATATGTGAAATAAAATATTTTATAATTTTTTCCAAAGAATTCCCATCTTTTAGTTTCAAAAATAAATAAATAAGCATATAGCATATATAATTTCTCTGTTTTCTAATAGTGAACGATAAAAATTTGAACAAAATGAAATTCATTTTTTGCTCTCCAAATTAAAAATTACTTAACTTAGTTTTATGGGATTTGATTACATTAACCTCTAAAGGTTATATCGCACAAGTACCCACCCTTAATTCGATCGTATTTCCCAATGTTTTACTCGCCTGTGACAGTTATTTTCTGACGGATAGTAGCCTGAAGTTCGTCTAGCGTACTTGACTTGTTAATACAAACCTTTGATTTCAAGCAGACCCAGAGAAAAAGTCTGACGGTATCAAATCTTCATATTTTTGTCTTTAGAATTGTCTTCTGATATTCTTAAAAATATGATTTATCAGTCATTAATATTCATTTTCATTTTGAGAACAATGAGAAGTTCCAAGTCTTCTTCCGTTTTATAAAGGTGGAAAGATTATAAATTAATGAAAGGCACACAACATCTAAAATAAAAATTAGGTAATAATTATTTGTAATCACCGCTGAAAACTATACTCAGCATTTTGTTTAAATATTGTTTTCATTTTACTCCTACTTGTCGCATCTTAAAGATACTTTTTAAAATTTTTACTATTAAAATTTTTCATACAAAAATACTCCTAAAAGCATGCTGCATTTTTATTTTAAATATTGGACGCATTAATTATGGCCTTTTTTTAATGAAAAACTTTTATCAAAACTAACTTTTATGGTAAGATACCTATAAAGATAAATTTATAGAAAACATAAATTGATTAAATATAATCAGTCGAGACCAACTTTAATTCACTCTACTACATTACGTTAGAATGCATGGTAGAAAAACTGGAATAAAAAATAAGTTCTGCGAACTCGATGTAATGCAGATAGATGTAATCTATCTCACTGTTTACTTATGTATGTTTACTTAGTTCTGACAGTTAAATCACATCAAATAAATTAAAATTAGCACACAATCCTTCGAATATATTTGAAAATATATTTAATGGAACTCAAAAATACCAATTGCTGGATGGATAACTGGAAATCGTATATATTTAATCAACTTAATTATTTATATTAAAATTATATTGCAATAAGCTACATATTTTAATACCATTTGACCATATTATTA